TTCTCACTATCAGTGCCTTGCCCTATGGTCAGACGTTGTTCGGCAGTATCACGGGCATCAATCTGCAGTCACGTGCGTTGCATTGAACGACAGCAGTGTCTAAGATCAATGCTGCTCAAGGAGTGACTCATGCAGCAAACATTCAACAAACCTGCCCGATGCGATGCCAGCCATCCTTTGGTAGTGAGAAAGTTCGAGAGAGATGGAGCCGCCACTAGTGTGGGCAGGAAAGATCCCATCACCGTCCTGCTACCGGTATGCATAGTCTTAGTAGCAATGCCCGACTCTCTACAATTTCCGCATTAGTTAGACATAGTGTATGCGGTACCAGCCGAAGAAGTAAAGAGAAGCAGATGTTGGCGGCCCGTCAATCAATTGTCAGACCACCTTTTGAAACAAAAAGTTCAGGCAATCGTTCATAACCGGACCGGCAGCTCCACTACTTCCCACAGTAACGTCGCTGCAATCAAACCGAAAGGATATCCCGTCAGGGCAGATGTTACAGCTTCCACAATCCTTCCCTTCCACCGCCGCCGAACAGGATTCAAACACTTCCTTGTTGCTCAGAGGCGTGGCAATCACTCGCAATTCATACACATCAGGTGTGGTTGCAAAAAAGTATCCATACAGGTCATCTTTGAGTTTGCCGCCATCCCCGAACGTCATGTCAAAGGTTGAGTCCCCACAGAGATCACCCTCGATGCAAAACACACCACTACATGTTTGACAAGGAAGGCAAAAGTTGTTTGGTGGGAGGTGAGGCGGATCCCAAATAAAAGCAACAAACAAGGTCAGTGCCGTTCATTAGTTCTGTTACGTACCCAGAATTGCAGCCACCAACGCCTCGGACACAAAATAAAGGGCCACTCTCGACATCGGCAATGCAGCCACAAAAGTCATTGTACTCCAAACCCAACTTTGCCACGCCGTCTTGACATTTGGGTCTAGCAATGCAATTGTTGACAATGCCACCAATGCCGAACGTGAGTATCAAAAAGATTGTGTTTAGAAATTCACCGGCTTGTACCCGTGTTGGATACGCTGCCAAGCAGAGGACAAGTAACAGCACCGCGGGTGCGGGGCGCATTGTCGATGTCATTGCAGCCAGTGATCCTTAACGACACAACCAAGCAAGTCAGATGTATGCGCACTCAACCGAGGAACAACAAACTGAGCGGCGACCCGAGAAGGCGGCTGTGATTGGAGGCCTACCCTTGTGGTTCTGTTGAGATTGACATTCAGTCGTCTTGATTTGACCACTTGTGGTTTGCTCCCTCATCTTTTGCCTTCCTGCCATCGCCAATGGAGCGTTGAGGCAAGATAGCTACACCGTACTACTAGTACTGTACATAGCAAGATTGAGCCGTCATTTATTTCTTGACAGCTGTATGTGACACTAACCCTACTTATACAGACAAAGTATTTGGCTTTGATGAAAATTATGCAGAGTTTAGGAAAGGCTTAAGATGTCTACGATGTAGGAGTATTGAAAATGTGGAGGAAAGATAGCCCTGGTGTTCTTTGCTGTCATGCTCACACGCCAGAAGAAGAGGAAGAGGAGGTTGATCCACGGCTGCTGGACGATCGCTTGCTCTTGCTTCGGTGCTTCTTGGAGGTGACAGGTGGTGAGACCTTGAGGCTCTGGAGACAATCCATGGCCATGTTGCCATCGGTGCTGCCGTACATCTCGAGCATTTCAATCACATCATGGCTGCTCATGTGCTTCATGGAATCCGCAATGAATTCGCCGCGGGAACGGAGAGGCTTCTTGCTGCTTCGGCTACTACTGGAAGAAGAGATGGACTTGCAAGAGGCGGTGGAGCTGACAGAGTCAGAAGTCGAGGAGCGGAAGAACTTCATCTTTGTGTTGAATATTAGATTAGATTAGAGCGGTTGGTGGGAGTGTTTTGCTTGCTGCTTTTTGGTTTTGCAGTTTATGGATTGTGAGAGAGTTGGAAGGAGAAAATATTGATTTTGCTTTGAGCTCTTGGGGTATGGAAGATGGAAGAGTGGGGAATGTTGGATGTCAACATGTCAACTTGGATGGTCAAGAAACCAAGGGCAGATGGGCCTTCGAAGGAAGGTGGAAAAGAAACATTCGAGAAGCCTGGAAACCTGAGAAAACACCCAGGACGCCTCAACCACCTCGGTCCACGAGGTTCCTTAAGCAATTCCTAAGTACCCAAATGGCTCCTAAGTACTCGCTTTACACTCCGCGTCGCGCCGGG